TACAACCTGTCTAGTAATTATTTTGACTGCTACAACCTGTTTAGTAACAATTTTAGCTGCTTCAACCTGTCTAGTAACAATTTTGCCTGCTATAAACTGTATAGTAACAATTTTGACTGCTACAAACTGCCTTGTAACAATTTAACTGTTACAACCTGTCTAGTAACAATTTTGACTGCTTCAACCTGTCTAGTAACAATTTTAGCTGCTACAACCTGTCTAGTAACAATTTTAACTGCTACAACCTGTTAAGTAACAATTTTAACTGCTACAATGTGGCTAGTAACACTTTTAACTGCTACAAACTGTTTATTAACAATTTAACTGCTACAACCTGTCTAGTAACAATTTTAACTGCTGCAACCTGTATAGTAACAATTTTGACTGCTACAAACTGTCTAGAAACAATTTAACTGTTACAACCTGTCTAGTAACAATTTTGACTGCTACAACCTGTCTAGTAACAATTTTGACTGCTACAAACTGCCTTTTAACAATTTAACTGCTACAACCTGTCTAGTAACAACTTTGACTGCTACAACCTGTCTAGTAACAATTTTGACTGCTACAAACTGCCTTGTAACAATTTAACTGCTACAACCTGTCTCAGTTTTGATGTAATGTTGATTGTTCTATATAATGAAAATGTAGGCCTCTTTGTTATGCTCTTCCACAATTACAACTGAAATACTTCCATTATAGCTATGGCTAAATGATTATCATATAATTGGTAATACATAAATATAAACCTTAAGTGGATTGAGTAATTTAATCTATGACTCCTGTGTAATGTAGACAGAGAAATATCAACCAGACTGTTAGATATTTGAAGTTTGGGACGAGATTTCGACTTTTCAAAATAATAGCCTTATAGTCTTTCCCTAGGTACATAAAGACAGGCTTATCTTTTCCCTAGCAAAATCAGGAATACACCTGTAAAATGTGGGAGAAAAGAGTGTTTTTTTTTGTTGATCATTTAATCAACTACAACAAATTTAACCCAAATTTAATTTCTCCCAAAGATTTTAATATCATTACTGAAAAAAATGTTCCAAAAAATTGACTAAAGAATTAAAAAAATCTAGGAAAATGTGAAAGAAAAAACCCTATAATAATTAAGATAAAGTTATTAGTATATAACAAGAATATGGAATTATAATAGAGGTGAAATGACAAAGAAATATTAACAAGAAAATAGCTCTACAATATTGTAATACATCATTTTTTCATGATAATTAGTCAGTAACGCATAAAAGTGTTTGAGGTGGTTTATTTTTGACAGACATGCTGGACAGAAGAAAGAGATACTGCGGAACAGACTGGACATGGATAATCTCCTTACCTACTTGTGTGGTGAAATAAGTACAGGGTACTCCTACCTATTCCAACTCCTACCTTGCACTGATAACGATGGAATGGTAAATGTCCTACTCTTAATCTTCAGGGAGTCAAGTACATGAAGATGGTTGTCAGATAGAGGGACAACTACAGGTCATGTAGAGCAGGCAAGGTAGAGGTCAAGTAGAGGTCAGGTATAATTAATAAACGTCTACAGCATGTTGCTATAGTCATCTTAAGAAAGGAGTCCTAAAAAAGGACACTTAAATAACTATCAAATTGTTTACAATTTTGCTTACAAATTTCTATTGTAGAATTTAAAATCACCCCTTTGCATACTGATCCCCTTACCTGTGGGTGGGAAGAACAGACAAAACATGTGTCAGACACAGGATGTTAGGGAACGCAGGCAGCTAGATAGAGGTTAGATAAATGTGGTAAAAAAGGCTAGATAGAGGTCAGGTAAATCGGGTGATACAGGCTAGATAGAGATCAGGTAAATAAGGTAATCAAGGCTAGATACTAATACTGGCTAGATAAAGGTAAGGTAAATTGGGTGATACAGGCTAGATAGAGGTCAGGTAAATAAGGTAATCAAGGCTAGATACTTATACTGGCTGGATAAAGGTAAGGTAAATTAGGTAATACAGGCTAGATAGAGGTCAGGTAAATAAGGTAATATAGGCCAGATAGAGGTCAGGTAAATTGGGTAATACTGGTTAAATAAAGGTCCGGTGTATCAGGTAATACAGGCTAGATAGAAGTCAGGTAAATTGGGTTATACCGGCTAGATAGAGGTCAGGTAAATAAGGTGATACAGGCTAGATAGAGGTCAGGTAAATTGGGTAATACTGGCTAAATAAAGGTCAGGTGAATTAGGTCATACAGGCTAGATAGAGGTCTTGTAAATTAGGTAATCAAGGCTAGATACTAATACAGGCTAGATAGAGGTCAGGTAAATGATGTAATACTGCCTTAATAAAGATCAGGTAAATTAAGTAATACTGTCTAAAAAAGGTCAGATGAATTAGGTAATACAGGCTAGATAGAGGTCAGGTAAATTAGGTCATACAGGCTAGATAGAGGTCAGGTAAATAAGGTAATACAGGCTAAATAAAGGTCAAGTAAATAAGGTAATACTGGCTAGATAGAGGTCAGGTAAATTGGATTATACAGGCTAGATAGAGGTCAGGTAAATAAGGTAATCAAGGCTAGATACTAATACTGGCTAGATAAAGGTAAGGTAAATTAGGTTATACAGGCTAGATAGAGGTCGGGTAAATTAGGTAATACTGGCCTAATAAAGGACAGGTATATTAAGTAATACAGGCTAAAAAAAGGTCAGCTGATTAAATTGGTAATAGAGGCTAGATAGAGGTCAGATAAGGGTAAAGTAGACAGAATAACCACCACTTGATGAGGTCTGGTACAGGAGATTATGTAATACACACTAGACAAAGTATAGGTTAATGAGTTTAGGAAGTCCAGGCACCCTAGAGTAGGTAGAGTAGAGGGAGTTAGGTGGGCTTTTCCTCCTCACCTGATATTTAAATGATATTACACCTACTATAATTTAAGTGTGTATATAGGCGCTGTCCCAGGGTGATGAACGTGGGTTCCAGAAGTCTGTGAAGATCGTGGGCTTTCAGATGAAGGTCCTTGTGATGATGGCACGTGACTATCTCCAAACCCTGCATGGGGCCGCAAGTACCATCTATAGGCTTATCCTGCATCTGTTCAGGTAAGTAATACCATTTCTAGTCATTTTAAAACTATTTTTATTAAATGAATTTTATATTAGTATGATTGAGAACCTGTTCATATATCTGAAATACACTGCACTTGTGAGGTTTTAGAATTGTGTATTTGCTGATTGAGATTGTTGTTTGCTGTTGTACGTACCTTTGATTTCCTTATTCCTTACACAGATATATACGACCAAGTCTGCATGCGATGCCTATCCTAGACTGCCACAGCCAAGAGATCCACAGACACCTGATTAATGCCACCGAGCCACTGTTAGCCACTCTGGTGTATAGTCGCACATTCATGGAGACTTTGACTCAAAACACACAAGGTGCTCAGTTTTATTCTAAGAAACTGATTCTATGACACAGGGCTCAAATGTGTCAAAAACTTCAAACGACATTTTAATAAGATCTAAAAAAGGTCTACAGTAATGCTATTTGGTTAACATCATCCTGTGATAAAGTATAATTTTCTTTAAACAAGTGACCTTGACCCACTTTCTAAAAGCCTAGATATGTGATATTAAGTTGCATGAAGCTTGCTGGTATGAAATACTACAAATGACAATGACCCACTTTTAAAGATCACAGGACTGAAATCTGAAATGTGTTGCAATCTTCAAAAACTTCATTTGTCCTGCAGTTTGCTGATGTAAATGGCTATCAAATTTGTCCGAGTAAATTACCTTCAGCAACTTTGTAGATGGCTGGGGAAAAATGGAAAATCTAAACAACTTCACCTAAATTCGAAGCTCTTGTTTGTTATGAAAATATATCCAACTAAAGGTTTTTGTATTTTTGGGTCGTGTACAGCTTTACATGAAGAGGAGAAATTTGCACATCTACAGGTGTTGATGAGTGTGATTGAGCACCTCCCCAAAACTACAGGTAAGTTATTTACAGGTGTAACTCACCTCCCCAAAACTACATGTAAGTTTGTCACAGGTGTTGATCACCTCCCCAAAACTACAGGTAAGTTTGTCACAGGTGTTGATCCCCCCCCCCAAAACTACAGGTAAGTTTGTCACAGGTGTTGATCACATCCCCAAAACTACAGGTCAGTTTGTCACAGGTGTTGATCACCTCCTCAAAACTACAGGTAAGTTTGTCACAGGTGTTATTTACTTCCCCCAAAGCTACAGGCAAGTTTGTCACAGGTGTTATTTACCTCCCCCAAAACTACAGGTAAGTTTGTCACAGATGTTGATCACCTCCCCAAAACTACAGGTAAGTTTGTCACAGGTGTTATTTACTTCCCCCAAAGCTACAGGTAAGTTTGTCACAGGTGTTATTTACCTCCCCCAAAACTACAGGTAAGTTTGTTGCAGGTGTTGATCACCTCGCCCAAAACTACAGGTAAGTTATTTACAGGTGTTTTTACCTCCCCCAAACTACAGGTAGGTTTGTCACTGGTGTTGATCACCCCCAAAAAACTGCAGATAAGAAAGGCTTAACTGACATATATTGTTATTGGCTGCTGTGCATACTCTATGCTTTTGTGCAGTAACAATAGTTCACCCACAAAAAAGTGGAGTGAAAATAGTTACATGTATCTCTGTTTCAGATGAAATGCAGGAATGGTGCCTGATGAATGCAGATGATACTAACAGAGATGACCTTCTCACCTCAGCCTTTAGGGCAGCTCACCAGTGTAAGTAACACAGGTTAATACAGGGTAAATCACAAGTGTAAGTAACACAGGTTAATACAGGGTAAATCACAAGTGTAAGTAACACAGGTTAATACTGGGCAGCCCACCAGTGTAAGTTACCTTGCTAAATACAGGGTAAATCCCAAGTGTAAGTAACACAGGTTTATACTGGGCAGCTCACCAGTGTAAGTTACCCTACTAAACATAAGGCAGCCCACCAGTGTAAGTTACTTTGCTAAATACAGGGTAAATCACAATTATAAGTAACTCAGCTTAGTACTGGGCAGCTCTCCAGTGTAAGTTACCCTACTAAACATAAGGCAGCTC